GTAATGAAAGATATCCAACATTTAGAATTTTTTCTGTCAGTTAGCTAGATTCAGAAGCCAAAAACATAGGAACGTTTGAGAGAAAGAAAATAAAAACAGGCCTTGAAATATCAGTGTAAAAAATTGTGGCAGTTTTAGGAATTGACTCATTAAACTTAACGTAACTTTTAAAGTACCTGCAACTCTTGTTTTAATTATAAACTGCTTTGAGATTGTTTTTAATGGGAAGCAATACAGAAATCTAGAAAAAAATAGATGAATACCAGAGAGATAATGTGTCAGCATGGTATCCAGAGCATTCTTCCTAATCATTTTTAAAGTACATAGCCCTAATCAATACTTTTAGAAAGGTCTACAAGTCAAATATTGCATTGTGATTAGTACTGAAAGTAGATTTCATTTGTTCTATAGCAATATAAAATCAGTGTTATAAATATTAAAATAAAACTTGTAAATTTTAAATAGATTTCTTGATTTTGGTTTTCAGAAAAGAAATCCCATATGGAACAAATCTCCAATAGTACCTTTTTAGATTATGTATCATCTACAGATGAATGTGAAAGACAATCAAAAGGAGATAATAGTCCCTTTCCAATCCATGGATATATAACTGAAAGAAAGAAACAAATGTGCATTTCAAGTATTCACCCTACTCTAAACAATTTGGAAACCAAAAAAGACAGAAATTGCATATTGCATTTTTGCAAGGCCAGAGTTTGCACTAATAATGATATAGGTAATCAGAGAGACCCAAATGGTGTTTCACATATTGAATTGACTTCCCAGCCTAACAATAAGCCTATTCACGTAAATAAAGAAGATTTAATAAGTCAAAAATCAGAGGAAACTATATATGATACTGATATGGAATTAACTGCAAGTGAATTGGGTGAAATAGTCATAATTAAATCTAGAGATAAGAAATTTAATAAGGTTAAAGCTGACAAAATTTCAGGAAATTTAAGAAAAGTAAAATTTGCAAGTACAGAAAAACAAATTAAAAATAAATATAGCAGTAAACCAAAAAAAAGCAATGAAAATGTTCCAAAAACCATCCAAACAAAAAAAAAATCACCACCAAAAGAAGAATTGTTTGAAAAGACAACATCCTGGGAAGTGAAACTGAAAAATACCAATGAACAAGATGTTGGGGAAGATAATAAAGACAGTAATAAAAATTACAAGCACCTGCATTTATTAGATCTCAAGTGTCAACCACAAACTACTAATATTTTAGAAACAGAAAAAGGGGAACAAATAATTTCTGAAACAGTAGAGGGGTTAGTCAGGCAGAATCCAGGAGACAATTTGGAAGTATCTACTATGCGCAATACACTATTAGAAGGTAGTAATATTGAAAGTTTGCTACCAATGGCAAGCCACATAATGGGTATACAAGAGAATTTAACTGTAAATGAGAGTTATCCTGTTACTTCCAAAATCAACAAATCAAACTACTGTGAAATGGAAAATATGCAGTATTTAAGAAGAAATTTGAAAGGATTTGGATCAAAGGAATGCAGATATGACTGCCAAACAAAACAAGGTCAAAGAACCAATATAAAAAGTAGATGCAGCAGTGAAGAAGATACTTGCAAATACAATATAGCAGCAAAAGAATCTACTCATGCTTTAAATGTTTCAAAGCTAGATCAAATTAATGAAGACATTTCACAAAATGATAAAAGAAGAATTTTTGCAAAAGCTAGCCGGAAGACAAATATTATATATCCAGGCTCTCTTAAGCAGAAAAAAATGTATGTGAAAGAGAAATTACACAATGAAAAATTATGTGATGAAAATATTCCACATAAGGCATCTAAAGACAGAGAAAGAATTTTCAGTGTTCAGAGAGTAACTTCATGCTCCATAAAAGATGCTGAAATTTCTATTGAAACATTAAATGAAAAAGAAGGTTCCACATCAAAGCCAAGCAGAAAAACTTACTTTGTTGGTACACATGATCAAAACAAAAAGGAAAATATCCCTCTTTTACATAACTCTAAAAGATATTATCAGGAAGAAAATGATTGTGTTTCTACAGAGAAGGCGGGCATAACTTATGAAGAATCATGCAAGAGAAAGCCAGTGCAAAATTCTGGTATGTGTAACCCTAATTTGGATGAAGTTAAATACTCGCTCTGGTCTGAAATTCAAAAACCCTCCCAAAAGTAAATTATTGTCATCATGTACAAAAAGGCATGTTAGCATCTTATTATTTATACTTTCATTTTCTTAATGGGTATTGCAGTTCTAACAGTGCATGATGCAAAAGAGTCAAATAAAAATGCCTGTCCAAGGAAATAGAACAAATACAGTTTTTGCAGACTTTTGCTCCAGATGGTAGATACATGTTCCATATAATACCTGGAAGCATGGAGTTAGGTATAATGGTCCCTATGCTTCTAACTTTAGGTCATTTTAAGTTTGCTTCATGTACTTTTAAAGTAGTATCCAGAATCATTTGAGTTATGCATAGTATGGTGGTAAAAGGTACCTCTCCACACATGTGAGCTGCATTCACTACCAACCCTATAAAATGCATTCACTACTGTCAGAAAACGACAGACACGGGTTCGGTTATCCAGTAGACAGAAGTTTTTATT